TTTTAGCGTTCCTATGGAGATGCGAGATCGGTCGGAGAGAAAAAAATTCAGCAGAGATGACCGGATGTGAATAATCCTCGATCGGGTCCGCAGTATGAAGATGTGAGAGAAAGAAGAGCCTCACTAGAACGTCACTAAAAAAAAAATAGACGACACACACATTTTGCAGGATCACAGAAGAGAGAAAAAGGGCGAGAAAGAGAATGGTGTACATCGTTCTTGAGATTTGGAGAACGCCTAATCCTGTTTTGAAAACTTGGTCTCGCATGACCGTGACAAACTCGACACCTTAAGATAGTTTATGACGATCCCTTGATCTCCTCGGCCTGCGCACCGCTATTATCTTACAGAGCCTATTCGGATCTTACCGCCAAGAAAGAGAGAACGATCTCCCTCTATCAATATTAATTTGCTCTCTCTTTCTCGACCATTAATTGGGTCGCTATCTGTTGAAAGTAATCAAGCTCGTCGAGCTGAACTGTTGGCCAAATACACGCAGTGTTTTACGCTTTTTAACGAACTCCGCTATAAATCCTACAAAATTTTAGAAAACTGTTTTCCATGCTTCTAAATTTAGAATATTCTTAACTACAACTACAGCTATAAAAAATAATTACATCTATGTAAGTTCTAATGCGTTCTCTTTGAAGTACAGAATATTAGTAAACCTCCACCATACGGCGATTGAGAAAGATTCAAAGTTCTTTACCTACAATTTAAAACCTCATAATATTAATTGTACAGATTGTCCAAAAATTTTTGTCTCAAGTTCAAACGACGGTTACCAGTCGAGGATTAATAATCCTTAAAAGTACTAATATAGAACTTCTTGCGAATTTTGATATTCTTAAGTCAATATTTAAATAAAAATAATTAAGTAAATAAAAATCAACAACAAAATGAATACAAAAGTTAAGGAACAAAATAAAAATTCGACTGACAGTGTTACAAAGCGATGGATGGCAACCACTGGTCCATTCTCGAAAGGCGGGCATTGTGTCGGGCATCATATTTGTAAATTTTACCCGTGCGGTTATATCCCTCGATTTGCAAGGCGCCGTGGAGAAAATTGAATCCGGCTTGAAAGGAGAAACAAACGAGTGGAAGAGCCGGGCAGTTGATTTAATATGGCCGTCCGTCAAGGCGCGTACGCGTCACGCTCGATTCACGTGTAAGAGACGGACGTCTGCTTTCTTCCCTCTCCGAAAACTGTCTAGTCGCGTGGCACGACGCAGGCGTTACCCGCCGTGCCTTTCAAAGATCCTATCGCTGTTCGCTGACGTTCCTTCGCTCGGTTTGTTAAGCTGAACTAACCACCCCGATGGAAAAGAAATTTCGCGAGGCTGACTGCGTCGGTTGAATGAGAATTGGATTAATTACTACGTCATGACCGCAATGCGAAATTTACTCTCTACTAAAGATCATTTCTTATAAAATTGTCTTATAGTCCTAAACAATTATTTTAATGGAACAGACGAAGATGAGAGATACTCTCGAGATAATGTGCATAGAGATTATTATAAAATATATTAAAATATAATAGGGTAAAGTAATTTAGATAAGTTAATAGAATTTTTCAAATTACATAAAGGATTGAAGTCGCATAGTGTATTTAATTAAACATATAAAACGTACTGTTACATCAACCTCAATTGCAACAATCTTTATATAATTTAAAAGTTATTATTAATCTATTCAAATTATCTTGAGATGTAATTCAAGTTTCCATTGTACTATATTGTGGCAATTGCGTGAACGATTTACATAGAAAGGACGATTTTGCCAAAACATCTAAAAATTTATATACAGATCTAAAAATAATTTCGATGGATGATCAAAATAATTGTGTAAAGATACTCAAACTGATTGCTAGAAAAACTTTTTGCAGCATTGTCATGCTTAAGATTTCCATGTAAATATTTTGATGGTCTAACAAATTATTTTCAGGTCTGTATCCAACTAAATTTTTAGATACAAAATTATTCTCTCGATGCATACGGAAACAAATAAATTGCTGAATTCGTTAACAGAATCTTCAAAACTTCATTCGTCCAGTACCCATGTCAAGGCAGATCCCGCTGTTCCGACAAGATGCGGTGTCATGTTCGCACGGCGTGACCTCAGACCGCGGTTCCCAGTTTCTCGTAACTGGACGACACGTGGTGTATCTTGGCGTACACACGGCATCTGCATGCTTCATTGAACATTCCGTGCACGAACCGTTGCTCAAGCAAACGGCCCCACGCTAGACCGCATAACGTCGACATCGTTGATATTTATGGATGCAATTCGGAAAGGCGAAACTGTACAATTGAACACACCCGTCGATTTCTTGCATTCACCTTCATCGAGTACACGCGCATACTCCAAGTTATCGGCACGTGCTTTAATTAAATTTATCGGTTTCGCGAAACCGTGCAGTGCGCACATGGACGTGGGATACGGTTCGCTGTAAATCTCGATGTTTGCGATCATTGTGCCCCGACAATGTGTACTGTACGGCTTTAGTTGGGCCTTATAGTGCATTGTTTGCAAATAAAAGCCGAATGGGAATTAAACTTGCCGACAGGTCTGTGTAAATTCGTATCGGGTTGCATCTGCCGTAAAGTTAAATAACTGCCTCTTTAAATCTCCCGACAGAGGCTAATACATTCTGATTAATGCAAAGCCAAAGGCCTTTAAATGTACAGGAAAGATAACACCTTTACGGATTTAAGAAATAAATTCAATCAATCTATCTATGGCTCCATTTTTTTCTTTTTTTTCAAGAATTTTCTCTCTCCTAGCGATCTAACTCGTATGAATATTCGGCTAACAGAGCTGTCGTAGGCTTTAGCGTGGTCAATTCAACCAAGTCTCTTCATGGATTTATCACTGGAAAGAGACTCACATTTTCGTGATCCTGTCGTCGGTCCCTTTGATGCGTGGGCGTGGGCCGCTCAAATCGAATCACCCAGAGTCTCATCACGTTCCCCGTTGTAATCATGGCTATTCCGTGCTTGATCCGGGGCTGATTATAATTTATGTTTCGTATTCAGCCGCGTTGCATATACCACTTCCGCCGTTCACGGATCCGCTTCTGCGGCTTATTCCATGCCGTCGGTGGCTAGATTACGTGGTAACATACTGCCGCTGCAATTTCAGCCTCCGTCAAAGGTAGAGACACCATGAACGGTAAAACGTCCACGAGAAAGAGGGATGACTCGTCTATATTGCCATTCCCGTCTGCCATCGTTTTTATATACACGCTGCCGTTATTATTACGTCTGATTGAAGTTTTTGTGTCTGTCGCGCTAGAGATATTTTTCATCTCTAATAAAATCTGTCGCCTGAGAGTAGCGAGACTCACTGAAAGCCGGAATACAAACGGACTTAATTTCCCGGCGCTACGCAGCTCGCAATCACCATCGCCTCTTTGCAATCGCGCGACTCTGATTATAATTTATTCGTTTCCTATCCGAGTCGCGCTCGACTGTCAGCGCAATTTGTGTTTGTCCCTTCAGGCGTATGCCGGATTACATGCCAATATATGGCGACCGTAATCTCCATCAGTAACCAAATATAATAAATTTATCTGTCGAGACAAGCGGCGCTTTTCGAAACGCGAAAAAAAAACCAGCATTCTGTTCCACAGTCCTCCTTTAAAGGAATTTCAGATTCGACAATCGTTCTCAAAAATCAGATCAGATCGGTTCGTCAATCCGCCTCTTTTCGTCGACTAGCACACGCAGGCGCGCACGCTCGTATACGTGAACATCTCGTCGACACGCCGCGGGTATGTTTTCTCAGCTGGTGCCCCTAACCCTCGGTGGTTAGGTTGTTCCCCTCCCGTTGTTCCCCGCCACCCCCACACAACCAGATCCTGGAAGATCCTTTCAGGACACGGTCGGCTACCCACAAAGGATCCGGCCTTTCATACGCACGTTATTATACTCTTTACACAATATCGTTCCAGCTCGCCCCCACTATCGCCAAGGAAGAAATACGCGTTGCCCATACACCTCGGTACTGTATACCCTACGCCCACGCATTGTAACAGGGAACCATAGCCAACGAGAGACGTCGGCGGAGCCGACGAAAGCCTCAAGACTTTCTCATTTAATTTGTTGTTGTAGCTGCTTGAGACGCGGATCGGGCCATTCGTCCGTCCTCAGAATCCCTCAAACATTCATTATGTTTTTTCTTCTTCTTCGTAACGCGTACGACCGCGATTCGCGGTGGTGGGGTTGCGCAGCCCGTCTCGCTCGTAAGAAAGGTCTATATTTGTTCCGTATCTCACGAGCGGTCTCTATTAATCGAATGATCGCGGAGCAGGTGAACCGGCATGCGATCCGAGCGATAGAAGAACAACCGAGTAGGTATCTTTCGAGATCCCCTTCTATTTCCCCCTTTTCGCGCTTTTAGATCATATTATCTTTTATCTTACAATGTTTTTACGATGTATATAACTAATAATACATTGCAAAAATACCGTCACAATCGATGTATCACGATAAATAGCACGTGCGTGGATATATGGATATCGATCATCTATTTACGTTGATCATAGTAATAAGATTTATGACGATCGCGAAGGTTCATTAAATGATCGATTCAAGTCGCCCGTGGTGAATCGTATCACGGATGCAGCTTGATGCGATTAGGATGTGGCATTATCGCGGTCCATTAGCGATTGTTTGCGAAGAAAACGAACGAGTCAATTGCCATCGTTCGGTGAATCGTAAAAGCCGTACGTTGCGTCGATGGTCTTGAAAATTTATTGGAGCGTCACTCGTTCAGGAGGATTTTTCTGTCTGATTTGACGCGTTTGCCTGTCTGCTGCATCAAGATGCACTTTTGAGTTTTCTAGCTTGAATAATTCCTGACAATATAGTTCAAACAATCTGTTCGTATTTTTAATATACAATATTATTGTTACAGTTTTAACAAAACGAGAATAGATGTTATATACAAATATGCAATTATATACAAATGATAACTTTCGTAAAACGTACGAAAAATCAAAATCGTCCAAGGCGATCCGTGAATGTGCTCAGAAATGTTTGTCGCGCTACTCTAGACGGGAACACCGGTCCCATAGATTCTAGCAGCAGTAGATTTCTCTCTTTTACGGCCCTGCAAAATTCTTCTTCGGATATTACACCGTCGCGATCGATGTCGAGTTTTTTCAACAGTAAATCAACCAAATCCTATGACGCCATAAATATATTATTTTATGTAAACTTTATGCTTGAAAGATATTAGCATTCTAGTGTCACGTTGATAATTGATATTTTATTTTAGTAACACTAAGATCAAGACTTATCTCTGTTGCTGTTAATTAATTAACCTTCACAGCTTCATCGGGATCTTCGTCTGTTTGCAGTTTGATCAAGCAACCTCGCATTGTTGGAAATATTTGCTCTTTCTTTAATTTGTTCGTATGCATAAAATCGTATATCTACATTTAATAAATATTATAATTAAAAATAATTATTTTTTAAAATTAAATTAAAATTAATTAAAATTTAATCTTTCAGAATTAAAAAAATATCAATTTTAACTTTGTAAAAAAATTTAGATGCAAATTAAATTCTTAAATAATTAGAATAATTATAGAAACATTAAGATTACATTAAAAGCAAAATGTATCTTTTCATTCAGATTGCCACGAAGAATTGTAGAAAGCCCTTCGATCCATTGTTCCAGATGAATCTATATACTCACATAATTATAATTTTAATTATTGTAAAAATATAAATCTTATAAATTATTTTATATTAATTTCTCATACTTGCAATACGTTCTTCTTGTCAAATGCAGAGAAAATTCTGTCGATATATATATGCCGAATGTTTTCAGTAAAATCCAAACCAGCATGCAAAACATCTCTAAATACGAATCTTGTCATAGGACCCAAAGTTTGTGTTATTTTTCTATGTATAATAGCTAACGCTGTAGTAAAATTATAATTTATCGAACATATATAAAAATTACATTAAATCTTTAAAAATGTGATGTATGAAGGATATGTGTGTGTGTGTTTATTTTATTTTATTATTGAATAACCTTCGACTTCTCTCACATTAAAATGAGTCTTTCGAGCTAATTTCTTGAATAAAGCATTATTTTTTCTTCTGAAAACAATCTCCGGCAAAGGTTTACTTAACATATCAACAGACAATTCGGCCGACATTTTGTTCTTGTAAATTTAACTTATACTTATAAATTTATCTAATAAATTTTAAAATAATTTTGAAGACCAGAAATGTCAATACATTTGAAAAAGAAGACTATCAATTCTTGCATTTTTTAATCATTTTATAGAATATCTTCGATTATATATTCTTAATTATATGAATATTTTGATCTATTTATATTAATTTTACGATTATTATTATTTAATAAATTGATTCTTTAATAATTACATTTAAATATAACATTTAAATAACAAGTGTCACGGTATGTCGGACAGGAAATTACTAAAGTTATACCTACTATGCAACAGGCCCATTAGCTCAGTTGGTTAGAGCGTCTTGCTAATAACGCGAAGGTCGCGGGTTCGATCCCCTCATGGGCCAAGTTTTTTTTATTATTTATTTTGTAATATTAGTATCTTTTTAATAATAGCTATCTTCACGAATAAAAATAATTAAATTAAAAAATTACATTTTTTACATATTTTTTACAGCTAATCGAGATAAATACCTATTTTTTTATGATATTTTCGAAAGAGAAAAAATGAAGTTTCGTGAATTTTGAAAGAACGTTCAAAATACAGATAAAAATTATCTAAACAGAGATAAGAATATCAATAAATATTTTTCAATAATATGTACCGTTATTGCTTATCATAGAAATACAAAAATTTTTATAATATTCTACTCTTGTCAAAGTTTATTTAATTTATTTATTTTACTTAATTAACTTATTATAAACTTTATTTATTTCACACTAAGCCATTAATCGAACAACCGCGTCAGTTTCTCATATTCTAAAATCCATGATTCATCATCCATGGATATGTATTTTGGACTGGCGTTTTCTCGCATTCGAGATGCATGTAACGCACAAAGGCTTATCGTAAAAAGATACGCGTATACAAGATGCATAGTTTCACGGAAAGCTGCCACGAAATATCCGGCAATAAAACAGTATATCTGGTTCTCACGTGGTCGTGAGAAGAAAAAGAAAAAGGCCGTTAGGCCGCCTGTCCAAGAAACGTGAGCAAGACAGCGAACGAATTTCGACGTGATAACCGATGAGTCGTGAACGCTCAGCACGAATTCGTTTCACGGAAGCCGTCCGACCGGCATAAAAGACGACAATAAAGCCCAGCCTAAGTATATCTAATGACATCATTTGGTTGGCAAACGTAATAAACGGGCACAAAGCCGCGGGGATTTCGTCGAGAATGTAAAAACGCGGGAACGGCTTAAGACGACCGAGAGAGAAAATCCGTATCTGCTCGCGTATGTTTTGCGAATCGCGAGAGGACATGGAAAGGCTGTTGGGCGAGAAGAAGAGAAAGGAAGATGTTTGGAATTTTGTGTGCGAGACCAAAGTCCCTCGTGAACAAAAAAACCAAGGGAATATCCACCTCCAATCCTTTCTGTTGCCTCACGTGAACGCTCGCGTCGTTTTAAGAGAAATATAAGAGAGAAAGAGAGAGAGAGAGAGAGAGAGAGAGAGAGAGAGAGAGAGACTTGGCCCTGATGGCGCGCTTCAGGGCGTATTGTTTGACCGGCTGGGAGCAAATCCTATCGGCAAACGGAATACAGCTGATCCTCTCGAGATCATCAGGCCTTAGTTCGTAAATAATGGCCCGAGATCTTTACGCGAGGTCGCGTAATACGGTGAATTTTCTTAATCTTTCCAAGTGGGAGATAAGAATAGGGAATCTCTCGTGAAGTGAGCGCCGCTTGCGTGGGATTTTTCATCTCAAATAAACAAGTAGATAATATTTTACATTTCGCGTTTGAGCGGCTTAAAAATGTTCAATCGGATAACGATGGTGAGACATACAAATCTTTGTTTTGGAAACATCATGCATACCCCGTAATAATTATGAGAATCTTCTCGAACCCACGTCACTTTGCTAAATCTAATCGAATCCGACGCATCCACGCTTGATTCCGGAGCCACGGAAGGCCGGTTGCCCGTCGTATTCATCTTACCTCATCGAGAAAAAAAATCGCGTATACATTTTAGGCGCAACAACGAACCGGAGATATATCACCAGCGCGAACGTCATCGTGCATTCGCAAGAACGCCCTTTTTTATCCCCAGTCCCTATAATCACGAGCTCATTAGTCCCCGCCGGCGGATAATTTACGAGCTGGACGTTACTCGCGCGGCCGATCGCCGAGGGACCACATTGTTTCGCTTTAAGTAGGCAACGAGTCCGCGAGAACGGCGCGAAGGATCGCTTTCGCGAAGGGGCGCTGTAATATCCCAACCGAGGGAAAGAAAACGAAGGGCGAGGAGAGGCGTCTTGTGTTCCTACAGCGTAGGAACGAGCTTGGAACGACTGTAATCTTGGGCTATCTAACGTTGTAAATGTAGCGAGGTGATGATTTGCGACCTCCCTGCAGCTCCGTGGAGAGGACTGGCATGTGGGGATACACTTGGACCTTTAGATTCAATTTCGCGGGGCGTCAGCCGCTGACGCGACGTCCGCCCACCTTCCGCGAGACGTTGATGTACGACACGGTAGACCGTAGTAGACCTCTGGAAATTTTCAAACGCTGGATCTTGACCATGGTGTAAAATAGAATAATTCTGACTCATAAATTTGATAGGCTTGTAAGAATTAATTTTACGTAGAAATTAATTTCACATTTTCAAGAAGATTAATTTATACCATTCGCTCAAACTAAAACAAAACTTAGCAACCTGTTTTATTTATTTATTTATTTATTTATTTCTTATCCCTTTTTCTCTGCATATCTAGAGAATAAAATGTAATATATTATTGCCGCGTATTTTGAAAAAACGGAAAAAGAAGGAAAAAATAAATGTATCTGACAGATATGATACATCTAGTGTGATACTATCATTTAGAGATGGGTAACCGTGAGAATCAAGCACGTTCGTTTGGCGTCCGTGCTTGAAAATATCTGCATGAGAATCACCTTCCATCGATGCCGCCGATGCGGACGCATCGATTTCACTTGGCATGCCAGGAATGCGAAGCAGAGATGCAACGATCCACTCGCGAAGCTCGATCATTGAGAGGATCGGGAAAGGCTATTCGAGTTAGCCAAGCGTTACGCAAGAGTCAGACACGGTAAGAGGCACGTCTATCACTCGACGTATATACATACATACATACATATACGCGTCAACACGCGCTAATATACACATGCAGGTAGAACACGATATTAAAGTCACTTCAGACGCGTGACTTAATCTACGAGGTTTCTCTTTACTTCATTATTCTCGAGTTTCAAAGATAATGCCAGATAGAAATTTAACGAAATAATTAAAATGTTTGAATTAATCTATTCGATTCAAATTACTTATGTATCTAAATGCGTAATTCATTATCATTAGACCGAATTCGCGCAAATTTCTTAACGCACGCACGACTTTCGTGCTCCGCGCTTCGAGTGGCAATATTCATAGCTCGGCGCGCGCGAACGAGCTCTCTCCTCTACGTCATTTACAAACGGCAAGCGGTCCATCATAAATTTAGCGCGCTATCGCCGGCTGCGATCGTATTTATCTAACAAATAATTATTCCTGATTATCTCGCGGGTGATGCATGCCTCGGCAAACAGAGATCAAAGATACGGCGCCCGACATCCCGTGGGCCTTTGTTTAACGCTTAACCAGCCGAAAGGTACCGGTCAACAATTTCGTTTTATTTACGACGTAGTGGTGATGGTAGTGGCGGAGCTGGTCCGAAGCTTAGTTCGAGAACGGAAAGAGCGTGGGTGCGAGGGTTGAGGGCTTATTACCAGTTGCCTTGGGGGTAGCCCCTATCCCGATGTCTGCTGCAATCAAATTTTAGAGTTATTGCCACATGAAAGATTCCACGTGGGTCAGCTCGGAGCAACTTGGACTCGAGAAGCATGGACCATTTTAGAATATTTTATGTCACGAATTATTCTCATATTAATTTCGATGAATAAAATAATAAAGCTTCGGGACTTGAGATAGGTAGGAATAAAACGTAGGATTATTAAACGGTTGGGATATATTATAATTATATTGTGTGTTATATTTGAAAAAGAGATTATATAACTTCTCTAAATTGCTTTTTTGATATTAATTATATAGCACTCATAACATACAAACCTACTTTTCTCAGGCAAGTTTTTTTATATTTTACCATCATTTAAAACGTTTTTCTATTGAGCTCACTCGAGGCTATAATTATGGGTACCGGTAAAACCGGCCACGGTGCGACGGAATCCTATGGTAGCTCCGAAGAACTACTACTAGATTCGAGAAGAAAATGAAACGGACTACCCATAAAGTTTACGTGAACGATCAAGAGTAGTCCGAAGAAAATATATGCCGGTTTACCGACGACGGGTGGGATTTGATGTCTTGTGGACAGAGAATCGTTATGTAACAACATCGAAGTGAGTTGTACGACAAATGTCGAGGGAAGACTCGAACTAAGTGAACCGTGAATCGACGGGATCAACGGGCAGAGGGGACCATAGGGATTTCTTTTCCATGCCGTATTCCGCTATTGTCGATGGAACACCTTGGACGTCATGCCGCGGCTTTGTGCAACTCTGCGAGACTCACGGGCAGCGATGGACCAAACATCCGAGCTTTTCGGAAAATTGAATACGTGGGTGGCGGAGTCACTCCCTGATGCCTGAAATCCATCCTAATCAAGGACCGGAATCCGAAAACGTGACCGGACAGATTTGTGTAAGATGATGATTGAGCAAGAACATTTATATTCATACGCGCATCAAATATTGATAAATGTAAATATGCTAGAGGCGAAAAAGTTGAGAAGATGGACAAACTGATTCATTTTTGCGAGTACGAAAAGAACGATTTTGCTAGAAAATCTAAAAATTTAGCTAAATGCAGATAACAATTCTTTTGGACTCAAAATAATTATGTAGGACGCTCAAGCATAATAAACAATAAACTGTAAAAGTTTTGGTATGTTAACAACCAGCTTGAGCGTTCCACATAATTATTTTAATGTTCCAATAAAATTAT